CGGTAAGGGGTGGGTGGGGCGCCCTCAAACGTTTTTTTAACAGCAACTTCATTCGGTGGCCAAAACACTGTAGCCATCTTGCACATTGCTTCGGCAGTGATTAAACTCTGAAATTTGGTTTGTTCGCTTGTCGTAAACCCTGATATTATTCCACCAAAAGTCACACTGAACTATTATGACACGGAATAACTGCCGTAATAAAGTAATGACACCGGCCACAACATAGCTTTTAACGAAACCACTTGGTCTCCAACACCGCCTTACTACGTCTCGTGCATCCCCTGGAATGACAGCTGAGGCCATTGGTACCGCCTTTTAGAGTGTGGAACAGCCAATCACAGCTCGCTGAAATCCTTTGTACGAAGCCGTTTAGTTGTTGTGCGCACGCGCACGTCAGTTGGTAAGTACCTCACTACTCACAAGCTCGCAGGAGTGTGAAGATGGCGGTTGAATCCGGCTTGCTGGATGAGCTGTTTTTATACACAGAGGGGAATAAAGCGGTAGTTTGTCATTCTGTCCGGTTTGTAGCGTCACAACTGTCGGTCTTATATGATAGCAACCACTGGGGTAGGCACGAGGCAGCCTGTAATTACATTTCTGTAGTTCCGGGACAAGGGGTAGCGCGAGCTAATGTCCAGCTGGGACTTGGTCAAGACGATTGCTAAAGCAGGTATGCTCTAATAACTAATGTTGTTTTCCTCTGTGTCTCTCTCCGAATATACACGAAAATCAGCCGCAGGAGCTCACAGAGCAAATCGGTAGACGTGTTAGAGTCTTACACCATCACATCCAGGATTGTTTGTTTTCCTTCTAAACAAGTTGAAGTGCAGGGGGTCTGATCATAGCGAGGTCCCCATGATACAACTATGGACGCATCCACGGCCAGCACGGACTCCACCACGGGACATGATCCTGGCAAAACACTTGTTAGTGACGGTATAACGTCTCTCCCTAATCACCAGGGGAAAATAGGCTCATACTCAGTACAGACTTTCAATGGGAGCCAAACTACGAACTCTCACAATTCAGGGAGTGTGTGTGTGGTTGTTTGTCTCCATATCAGCCCTGCGATGGCGACCTGTCCTGGGTGTACCCTGCCTCTTGCCCAATGCCGGCTGGAATTGGCTCCAGCCTCATTCGGGACTAAGTGGTATAGATAATGGATGGATGGGTTGCTCTCAAAAGATTTTTAAAGGGAGCCTGGTCACTTACTATCAGCAAAAGAAACAAGGAGCTTATGAAGTGAAACAACGTGCACTGTCCTTGGTGCTGAAGAGAAAAATCCTGAACTCTCACAACTTTTCTGACACAGGAGCCTGAAACACTGACCCTGTCCATCTTCCAATGACAAATACAGTCTGTAAAAACATTTATCTGCTTCACATTTGTACCTTTCCCCACATCTTTATTTCAGTTACAATTTTTATGAATTAAGAGTTCATAAAAACATGCTTATGAAATATTGGATGGTTTATTAATTACAAGTTACCTCGGCACAGGTGTTCAGCTGGAATAATAATTCAACATGGTGTTAACCTGTACATTGTACAATCCAGTTTTCATAGTCATCACTGCTGCCATTCATTACCTCATCATGGAAAATGAGGCACCCAAAGTGAGTGTCCCAGAGTTTATTTAGTCATCTGAGTTGTCTTTGAACTCTTGAATCAAGAATCTGAAACACTGACACAGTGAGCTGGGTCAGGTTGGTGTGGAGGATGTCCAGGATGATGGTGTTGAATGTGAGCTGAAGTCCACAAAGAAGACCTCTGCATAAGTCCTTGGGGAGTTGAGGCTTCACAGGATGTAATGCAGTGCCATGTTGACTGCATCATCCACTGACCTGTTTGCTCAATATGCAAACTGCAGGGGGGGAGGGGGCCTGTGATGTCCTTCAGGTGGGCAAGCACCAGTCTTTCAAAACACTTCATCACTACAGATGTCAAAGTGACAGGTTTGTAGTCATTTAATTTACTGATAGAGGGTTTCTTGAACGATGGTGGAGCATTTGAAACAAGAGGGTACTTCACAAAGCTCCAGTGACATATTCAAGATCCGTGCTGGGAGCCAACTGCTTTCAAACAGAAGGGAGTAACCCCATCTAGCCTGGTGCCTTCCCAATCTTTTGTTTTGCACAAAAGCTTTGATTGATCTCTTTCACAGATCAATCTGTGCTGAGCTCCACAGTTACTTAAAATATGGTGTGTGAAAATGCACATGGGCTACATTTCTCATATCAAACAGTCATATCAGTTTGGTGCTATATTTGATCTGACCAGGCTTGATATGAAACTACATAAATTCACAGCCACTGTTGGTCAGTCAGATATTCAGTCTGCCACTGCTTCACCTCTGTACAGATGTCATTTTAAGAATCTTCACATCCTTTGTGTCACTTAATACTTCAGGAATTAAATCAGTAATGGTCATTATGTAGAGCCGAACAGACTGTATGACAGACTGACAGTATATGAGAGCTATAGGCCTTTGTCATGTACTATAAGCTGACTGTATTACATCTCTATAAAACAGCACGTTGTTGATCCAGCATCTCAACCAATCAGCTCTCAGATCAGGTGAGGGCCAGGTGTCTCCCATCATGCCATGAGCTCTTGCAGTTGGTGAAGATTCTGCAAACACAACAGAGCTTTTACTGTGAAAATTCCAAGTCACACCTACAGGTTAGTTTTGACAATTTTCACATGAAGACAGAAAAGGGAAAATGAGCACATTAACCACACGATTCTACTTTCCTCATTCAAGTAAGCAAATGTTTATTTATATAGCACCTTTCTAAGCCAAGGTTAAAAAGTGCTTGACAGTAAAGGGAAACAAAATAAGCAATAAAAGCAAAACAGTAAAAACAGGAAATACGAAACAGAACAAAAGCCCTATATGGAGCCATCAAATGCCTGCTTGAATAATTATGTTTTATAAGGAGACTAAAAGACCACAAGATCAGAAGTTGACTAGATATCATGGGGAAGGCTATTCCACAGTTTGGAAACCACCACAATAAATGCCCCAGCACCAGCATATTAAATCAAAAGTTTGAATTCAATAAAAAAAAAATGCTTATTTTGTCAGGTACATATATTGTTAAATATAAGCAAAAAGGACATTTTTCCTTATTTGCTTTTTGTATTTTTTAAGTGAAAAAACAAACTTGTATTTTTTTATTTTTTGTCATTATCTGATTTCCCATTCCATAACGGATTTGGACTGAACAGAGTACACAGATTCTACAGGATGAATTTTTTCTCCCCCAAAAAGTTATACATTTATCAACTAGGAGCTGTTGCTGTCACCTCTTTAGATTTCAACACAGAAAGTAAACTTTTTGAATTTTGAACTTCTAAAAAAATCTAACAATAAGGCATAATTATATGTTTTATATATTATTATTAGATGTACGTAAGTGGTGCATGAGTTTGACTAGTCAATCCGATGAGTGGCTTGCTCGCAACACATTTCCTCGGTAAGGGGTGGGTGGGGCGCCCTCAAACGTTTTTTTAACAGCAACTTCATTCGGTGGCCAAAACACTGTAGCCATCTTGCACATTGCTTCGGCAGTGATTAAACTCTGAAATTTGGTTTGTTCGCTTGTCGTAAACCCTGATATTATTCCACCAAAAGTCACACTGAACTATTATGACACGGAATAACTGCCGTAATAAAGTAATGACACCGGCCACAACATAGCTTTTAACGAAACCACTTGGTCTCCAACACCGCCTTACTACGTCTCGTGCATCCCCTGGAATGACAGCTGAGGCCATTGGTACCGCCTTTTAGAGTGTGGAACAGCCAATCACAGCTCGCTGAAATCCTTTGTACGAAGCCGTTTAGTTGTTGTGCGCACGCGCACGTCAGTTGGTAAGTACCTCACTACTCACAAGCTCGCAGGAGTGTGAAGATGGCGGTTGAATCCGGCTTGCTGGATGAGCTGTTTTTATACACAGAGGGGAATAAAGCGGTAGTTTGTCATTCTGTCCGGTTTGTAGCGTCACAACTGTCGGTCTTATATGATAGCAACCACTGGGGTAGGCACGAGGCAGCCTGTAATTACATTTCTGTAGTTCCGGGACAAGGGGTAGCGCGAGCTAATGTCCAGCTGGGACTTGGTCAAGACGATTGCTAAAGCAGGTATGCTCTAATAACTAATGTTGTTTTCCTCTGTGTCTCTCTCCGAATATACACGAAAATCAGCCGCAGGAGCTCACAGAGCAAATCGGTAGACGTGTTAGAGTCTTACACCATCACATCCAGGATTGTTTGTTTTCCTTCTAAACAAGTTGAAGTGCAGGGGGTCTGATCATAGCGAGGTCCCCATGATACAACTATGGACGCATCCACGGCCAGCACGGACTCCACCACGGGACATGATCCTGGCAAAACACTTGTTAGTGACGGTATAACGTCTCTCCCTAATCACCAGGGGAAAATAGGCTCATACTCAGTACAGACTTTCAATGGGAGCCAAACTACGAACTCTCACAATTCAGGAAGCGCTGTCCCTCTCGGGGGGGCACGGGTAACAGCAGCATCCCTGCGGTATCTGCCACAGCTGTCAACAGTGGACCAGTGTTGTCGAAAGGGCTGGCCACTGCGATAATAACCCCCTCATCAAACAGTGTAATTCAGACGCCCCTCATAAAATCCCAAAGTGTTGTCGCTCCAGCTCAGGGTGTGAGCCAGCCAACAGGACCCACCGTGACCCTCGCCAGACCGCCTATGCAAACCGCGGGCTCGGGTGCAACTTTGAATGGGAACAATAATGCGAGCCCCGCTGTGGTTGCCAGTAACATTACAACAGGTCAGACAGACAGCGGCGTACGAACACCACCTGTAAACAATTGCCAGTCGTCCAGCCCGGTGTCTGTCAGCGCAGCATCGCACAGTATCAAGGCAGAGCCATCCGCAATCATAATACAGTCAGCACCACAGGCGGCTGTCGCTCCTGGGGTCGTCGGCGCTCCCCGGCCTTCGGTGACGGGAGCTGCCAGGTGGGATCCGAACCCTGACGCCTCAGATGTTGGCTCCGAGGCTCCCTCAGACCTCCCCGGGACAACCCAGTGTTCACAACATGCAGCTCCTCCCGGGTGAGTGCAATCAGAACTTTTTAATGTATGTGCACAAACATTAATAAAACCGATTTCATTTTCATTTGCCTCTTGATCAGTGATAACAAACTTTGAATGATGACATTACCAAATCTCTGAGATTTACAGCATGAATTAATCATGTTGACAGGAGTTCAGCTGCAGGCACGGGTTTTGACACCGTTTCAACCTATCAATTAAATGTACTATAACTATATTTACCTTTTATAGTATAAACATATGCAAGAATGTCTCATATTTTGTGATTTGGTTCAGGGATGGTGCTTATGCGCAGTGAGGGTGGACAGCTGCTGATGATTCCTCAGCAGGCTCTGGCCCAGATGCAGGCCCAGGCACAAGGAAGCATGGCACCTCGGACTGCTACACCCACAAGTGTGGCTCCTGGCCAGGTAAGATCCCATGTCCTGACTTTATTTCTTACTTTGGTGTCACAGTCAGTGTTCGGCTTGCTTTTCTACCTACAGCTCAGGAGGACGCACCATTTAAGTAGAATTTTAGATAAATTATTGCTCATGTGTAGGTACATAGAAAGTAGTGTGGTGTACTGTATATCACTGTGTTGTATTAGTTGTCTTCATTTATGCAAAAATGATACAAGCCAATCATGTCTACATTTAGATGTAATATGCAGATATCATTTCTGGTTTGATGAAAGTGGGTGTCATCATCACACCATGTCATACTTTGTGCCTCCTGTCAGACTCCTGGAAACACCATCATCAACAGACAAGTGGCTACCAGCACCATCATCCGTCAGGGCTGTCCAGTGCCAACTACACTCCCTTTGACCACCACTCTTCACAGACCTCCTATCCTTCAGGTAAACCCATCTCTTGGTGTAAGATAGTTTTTGATCTTTTTATTTTGGCTTGTTGTACAATATATTGTGGAGCGATACAAAATACCTCACTCACTGATTGAACCTGAGTCAGTATATTGGTAATACATCATAATATTCCTGTTTTTATGTGTCAAAGTGACATCAGAAGCACCTTATGAGTTCATTTTTTCACAATGAATAGGATGCGAACTTCATTGTCAAGAAGATTTGATGCACACTGAATAAATGGTTTTCAATAGTGTGTGTTTATTAGTAATCCTGACGCATGTGCAGAACTGAAGACCAAGAACTGAAGGAATTATACATATTTATAAAGATATTTTCAATTTCATGCCATCATCCTTAGATGAGAATGCAAGACAAATGTACTGACAGGTGACAAAAAAGGAAAACTAAGGACAAAGTGTTGTGTGCAAGTGCAAGGTGTTGGGCTGCCACGTGCCACCAGAACAGCTTCACTGCATCTTGCCATCAAAGTCTCTGAACCTTACTGGAGAGATAAACACCATTCTTCTAAAAGATATTCCCTCATTTGGTGATTTGCTAATGATGATGGAGATGCTGTCTGACACATCGCTCCAAAATCTCCCATAAGGTCTTCAACTGGGTTGAGTTCTGGTGACTGTGAAGACCACAGCATATGATTCACACCATTTTCATACTCCTCAAACCGTTCAAAGATCAGTCAAGGCTAGGTGGGCATGACATGAAGAAATATGGCTTTTATGGATTTCTTCCTTTTACAGCTTGGCAGATTTCAGTGTGCCCTGATGAAGGTTTCACATCAAAAAGCATCAGCAGATTTGTCAGTTGCAAATAAAATGATCATGACATACCACTGGAGCGCTGCCTTTTTTATACTGATATCCATGGGGAAAACAAACATACTGAAGTATTTTTTTTTTGAAGAAGAGCACTCATCTGAAATTCAGTGCAAGAGAAGTGCACCTGTTTCCTCTTACAAACCAGAAATTTGTTTGATGTACTTGAGCAACGTTGAAACAGCCATGAAGCCCACACTCTCCAGTAATGACTTAAAAAGCATGTTTTCAAACCCTTCAGCAACCCAAATAACATATAATGATGGTAATATCTCTATTCCCAGAGCTCAGTTGGAGCTGCAGTACCAGGAATGGCCCCCAGAACTGTCAGCCAAACAGCTGGGCCCACAGTTACCTCAATAACACTGAGCAAGGTTTGTTGTCCTGTGCCAAAAAGATCAGATAGGACCGGATGTCAGCATGTGCTATAACAGTGTAGTGCTGAGTTGATGATATATGCATTATATTTTTAGTATACAATGTACTAAAAGAATGGAAACCAAAGCACCCTGTGATGTATGACATGGCTGTTAACAAATGAGACTTGAATTTGTTTGTAAGCTGAGCCACTGTGAGAGAGCTGGTGAAGGAGCTGCTGGTGAGTGAGCTGTTCAGGCTGTGGCTCAGATACAGTGGGTGGTTTCCTAACCAGAGGGTTGGTGGTTTGATCCTCAGCTTCTCCAGTCCCCTAGTTGCTCCCAATGGCTGTTCCTTTGGTGTGTGAGTGGATGAATGAGCGATTATACTCTAAATTGCTTTGAGTTCGCAGTTTATGTAGAAAAGCCCTCTATAAGTGTAAGTCCATTACATACTGTATAACAGACACACCGATGATGACATTAACATGTCAGTTGTCATATAGTTTTTCACTTTTGTCAAGGAGTTTGACATTTGAGAGATGCATAACTTAATTGAAAGACTACCTTACTCCTGGCAAACCTTCAAGCAAGAGACGCATCATCTGTACCTGCAAATATGACAGCTGTTACTCCGAGCTTGTTATGTTTATGTGTCGTACTAGGAGGGCAAACTGGAAGCTGAGGAATTCACCAGCAGATTGTACAAAGAGCTCAGCTCCTCACCCCAACCGTACCTTGTGCCTTTCCTCAAGGTAAGAAAGCTTGAATTCTGCTGTCGTCTTCACTGATGTAACTTCCAGCAAAAATCAGTAGAAGGCCACAGGAAACACGGTGTCATCTTCAAGTGCAATACTGCAAATTTTCCTTCTGTTTGTCTTCTGCAGAGAACCCTCCCAGCCTTGAGACAGCTCACCCCAGACTCAGCAGCCTTCATCCAACAGAGTCAGCACCCACAGCCGGCCTCGGGTCCAGTCTCCTCCACCTCACCCATCCCCACCACAGTTGTGCTGAGCAGCCCAGGCACATCCCTCACCGTTCCAGTCAGCAGGCCCCAGCTCCAGCCAGGCATCAACAAGCCAGGACAGACCCACTCACTGGTAACCTGACTATTCTGTATCTCAGATGTCAACTCAACTTGAAAACTTTGAGTTGCATTTACAGTATATCAAATATAATACAACTGAAACTGCACAGTAAAACAAAGCATATGTCACATACATAACATAATCTGCATTTAAAACCTTACTCCTTTAGGTTCTCCAGCCTCAGCAGCAGAGAGCAGTGTTGAGACCTCAGGTAACCTTACCGACAACCCCCACAGTGACTCTCAGGAATCAGGCGCCTGGCTGCATCATGCTTGGACACCAACAGGTCCAGCTTAAAGAGCTGCAGCAAGGTGAGGATGTCAATAGAATATTGCCTCTTTCTGTGCATGTGTGTGTCTTTCTTTGGTTGACCAATAGCATTTATCATTATATTTGCTTTTCTGCTAGTTACCATGAGGCTGGAGGTGCCACCTGTTTCTAAACAAGTCTCTGCTGCAGCCCTGACCCTGGCTCAAAAAAACAAGCTAAAAGAGGCAGGCGACACTTTTAAGTAAGAACAACGATAACGGAATTCAAATTTTACCATATGAAGTTTAAAATCTCAGGTTTTAGCATTATGTCAAACTCAAACATGTAGTTTTTGTAACTTTTGATTTTTTATTAACATTTATTTAGTTCTCTGCTTTCAATACTGTGGGAGTGATATCATATCTTTGGATTCATTAGTGATTGGGGTGTCCTTACTGCATGTGTGTTTCCAGGGATGATGATGACATCAATGACGTGGCCTCCATGGCTGGAGTAAACCTATCAGAGGAAAGCGCCAATATCTTAGCAACCAATTCTGGACTGGTGGGAGCAGTGACACATTCCTGTAAAGACGAGGCTTTTCTCTCCTGCAGCATTCTGCAGAGCAGAATGCTGGAGATAGGTGAGGCACTGACAGTGTTAAGGATTAGACAATGTCCATCCATTCATCCATTTCCTAAAGTACAAAGGTGCCATGCCATTTCTTTTCCAGGTAGGAGATGCGGTGTAACAGACCTGGGTGCCGAGGTGGTGAACTATGTCTCTCATGCTGCTCAGCAGCGACTTCAGAACCTGCTTGAAAAAGCTTCACAAGTGGCCCAGAAGAAAAATGTCAATTTCAAGGTTTGTTTAAAGCTAGACTATGGACAGAGTCTTACCAGTTCAACACATCCTAGATCCACCCCCATGCTTAATAGTTGGCAAGGTGTTCTTTTCATGAAATGCTGCTCCTTTTTTTCTCCAAACATGCCTTTGCTGATTGTGTCCAAAGAGTTCTATTTTAACTTCATCAGTCCACAGCACTTGTTTCCAAAACGCATCGGGCTTCTGTAGATGTCCTGTTGCATACTTCAGACGTTGGATTTTATGATGGGGACGCAGATAAGGTTTTCTTCTGCTGACTCTTCCATGAAGGCCTTGTCTGTGCAAGCATCGCTGCACAGTGGAACGGTGCACCACCACTCCTGAGTCTGCTAAATCTTCCTGCAGGTTTTTTGCAGTCAAATGGGGGTTTTGATTTGTCTTTCTGACCAGCATACGAGCAGTTCTGTCCGAGAGTTTTCTTGGTCTTCCAGATCTCATCTTGACCTCCACAGTTCCCCTGATCTGCCATCTCTTAATTACATTTCTTACTGTGGAAACTGCAAGCTGACAACGCTTTGCTATCTTCTTGTAGCCTTCTCCTGCATTGTGGGCATCAATAACTTTCATTTTCAGGGTCTTACACAGCTGCTTAGAGGAACCCATGGTTGCTGGGTGTCCACAAGTGTGTGCACAAGGTTTGAAGAGTCAAAGTATTTGTACAGCTTTGAAATTGGCATTTACCAATGACAGCTGTTGCTGTGCATCAGATCTAACGAGCTGATTAAGGTCTGATACCTTGTGAGAGACTTTGAGACTCTGGAACTCTTAGGGTGCCCAAACTTTTGCACCATGCCATAATAATGTTTTTATTTTTTATTTTTGTTCAATTTATGGCATAAGAAGTAACTATGCATCACTGTTTGCTGAAAATATTGTGCATTTTTTCCATTTCCAAGAGAAACTGTGTTAACATCTGTTCAAATAAAAAATCACCAAAATCTGTTATTTATCAAGGGGTGCCTAAACTTTTGCATAAGACTGTAGGTCTAGTATTAGCCAGATTCTCTCAGACAAATAATACTGGTGTGTCTGTTGTATCTACAAACTGGTTTTACTATGTACATGACAGATTCGTCTTAGAAGTTTGAATCCTTATAAGTCGCAGCCAAAAATATTGGCCCCCCTGCATTTCTGTCAGATAACACACCACTTATCCCAGAAAATAGTTGCAATCACAAATTATTTTGTATTCTCATGCTTATTTCTATTGTTTGCATCAGAACAACACAAAAAAAATAGGAAAAAGCCAAATCTGATCCATTCCACACAGAACTCTAAAAATGGACTGGTCAGAATTATTGGCACCTTTTCAAAATCATCAGAAACAGTTGTATTTCCTTTAATTTGTAATGAAACTCACCTGTAGCAACCAACAGGTGCTGGTGATACAGAAATCACACTTGCAGTTAAAATGGAGAAAAGTTGATTCAACCTTTGTGTCGTGTGGACCACACTGAGCATGGAGAAAAGAAAGAAGAGCAAAGAAATGTCTGCGGATTTGAGAACCACAACAGTGGAAAAGCCTGGACAGTCTCAGGGCTTAGGACTGTATCTGCAGTAATCTCTGCTGTACTGCCTCATTTTCTTTAAAATCTTCTGATTCTTTCTGGGATAAAACTGTAACACCGTTCTCTGGCAGGAGGGTGACAACTATGAGCAGAGCAGTGATGTTCGTACTCAGCTCAAGTTCTTTGAGCAGCTGGACCAGTTGGAGAAACAGCGGAAGGAGGAACAGGAGAGAGAGATCCTCCTGAAGGCAGCAAAGGTACAGCATCACACACAGACAAACAGGTAACACATTATGATATTATAAGTGACTCGACTGAGCAAACTGATATTGTATGTGAGTATTCCACAACATTAGAGAACATTAAAGTTTGACAAAAGGTCAACTGCGATGAATTTTGACTCATCGTCAGAATGCATGTTTAGGCTCTAACCTGAACAGCTTCTAACAAAGGAATTATAAAATGCCACTGGGGGCTAATTTATAACAGTAAATGAAATTCCAGAAACTATGTGACATTAAGGATAAAATAAGTGGATTTAAGAAATCATTTGGCCATTACAAAGCAAGTTAGAGCAGTAAATAAGGTTTTATGCAGCTGTTGTCCAGTCTGAATATAAATCTTAATAGTTATAGGACGATTCAAACACCTGCAAATTCCACAGTATCTGTAGTTCTGCACAACCTGCCAACATATAAGTTGTTAATGCATTTTGCTTTTGGCCTTGCAGTCTCGAGCTCGGCAAGAGGACCCAGAGCAGCTGCGTCTGAAACAGAAGGCCAAAGAGGTGGGATGAGAGCAGGAAGAGTCCACCGGTCTCTGTTTCTGTATGTTTAGGCACTGTATGCATGATTTCCATGTTGGTATGTGTGTGCTGTCCAGATGCAACAGCAGGAACTGGCTCAGATGAGACAGAGGGAGGCCAACCTGACTGCTCTCGCAGCTATCGGCCCCAGGAAGAAGAGGAAGGTTCTGGACTCTCCATCCTCCTCTTCTGCAGCTGAGGTAACATTAACAGCAGTACATTCTACTTGTGCTTTTGTGTATCCTGGGTTAGCTAGTAAGTATAACTCCTGGTGTAAAGTCACAATGTACGTTTATACCTCCGTTACTTATTCACAACCTTTGCCATCTTCGCTTTGTAGAGAGCATCTCATTACATTATTTAAGTTGTGTAAACTGGACTAAAATGAAATACTCTTTTGACTCACACTTCAACAAAAGGCACCAGAGGTCCAGAGTTAAAATACCATGTCACATTTGATCCATACAATGAGGCAGCTTTCATAATGTGACAAACTTATGCTCACTGTGTTGCGGCTGCTGGCTATACTTGGCGCCACCTGCTACACACTGCTGTTATTGATCGAATTCATTGACGTTTCTTTTCTTTATATTTCATGCGTATGATGATTTCTGCAGTGTTCAGTGTTAGTGTGTGGAGGTTTCTTTTACTTCCTACTGAATCCCAAACTGTTGTCTAGATCAGCTGGAGGCTTTTATAAGAACAGGAGCGGTTTTGCAAAATAAATGTTTAACCATTTGCAATAAACGGCCTTGTATGCTTAGTGTCTGACAGGATTGTGTATGTAAAAACATGTTCAGGAAACGATGTGTGCTATGTCTCCTTTTATATACTTTGGCAAATGTTCCATTACTTTTAAGAGACTGTTAAAAGAAATTCTCTCTCAGTAGTAACAATAGTGCTGCTTTTGAGCTTTCTTTATGTGTGTAGACATCTTTATATTTTTTTCTTGATTAAAAAATTGTATTGAGCTTTTAAGTGCACATGGGAACCCTTTAAGAAAACAGCATTGTACATCAGAGTAGGGTAGCTACATGGCCCTGACTGCAGAGCTTCCTTAAAATCCTAAAAATGGCACTTGAAAGGTTTATAGTTTTGTACTGTATGTAATAAGAGAGGCTAGAGATTATTACTTCATTCAAATAAGTAATCAAATATCCATAATAGACACAATTTTTGCAACGGTACAGTTTATTGACCGACATGTATCCACCTGTTCATTTTCTTAGCCGTTCCCAGTGCTCTGAAATCTGCAGGGTACATACTGGACCAGTTACAGGTCTATAAGTGCTAATACAAATAGATAAACACATTCACTGCTATTATTCCTGTTCCTGCTGGTAATTTAGAGTTTCCAATTCACCTAAACCAGCAGTTTTATTTAATCTATTTATCCATTATTTGTATCTGTCTCAACCATTTATCCATTACTTTGAGCTATTTCATCCATTTTCCCATTAATCTGAGCTATTTCATCCATCTGTCCTCTACGTTTAACTATTTGAATCATTTATCCACTACATCTAGCCACATATGTTAACAGTTTATAACTCTTAGCTAATAATTTCAGCCATGTATGCATTTCTATTAGCCATTTCAACTATTTATTGACCAGTGTTAGCATTGTCACTATTTATCTGTTATCTTTAGCTATTTCTACTTAATACTCCATCACAACATGTAGTGTTCAGGTGTTACCTCTGAATCAAAATGTAGATATTTTTAAAACTAAAATCATTTTTTCCATATTAGTTGAGCTACTCCCCAATATGTCTATGAACTACCCTGGAAACTATAGAAGCAGAGCTACCTGCTGTGGTAGAGGTAACTCTCACTGACCTACAGTAATGTAAACTGCAAGTCTTGGACTGTGGAAGCAGCCAGCACAACCCATACAGGAGAGGAAGACCTCAGTCAGATGATGCTTTCAAACAGTATACACACTCAGCCACTCTGCTCCTTCTTATTGAACAACATTGTTCATTTAAATGTGGAAATATTAATAAATGTTGGTGTGTTGCAAACCACCCCTCCCACAGATGACAGATATCACTTACTCACTCCACCATCGCTCCCTCTGTCTTTCTCCCTCATCTGTCGCTCATCTTGCAGGGATCAGGAGCAAGTCCCTCTCTTTCTGGTGGGGCTGGTTCATCAGGCTCCAGACCCACACGGCAGCGCATCACACGCGTCAATCTCAGGGACCTGCTCTTCTGTTTGGAGAATGAGAGATTTACCAGTCGTTCCCATTTCCTCTACAAGGGCTTTCTCAAATAGGTATGATGTCAGAGGAGGAAAGGTGAGCAGGAGGAAATGAAGTGTGTAGAGAGAACAACCGCTTCCACTGTAGAGAGAGGGTTAAGGCTCTTACAAATAAAGAGGAGGAAAGCAGTGCCTTGGCACATTTAAAAAATTTTTCAAATATACCTGACAACCTGAAATATACAGTAGTAGCAGCCATTGGATGGCCTCTCTACCTCCCTCCTCAAATGATGCCTATTTTCCTTCAGAGCAGTCAAACTTATGCCTCTTTATTTAGCCTGTACAACTTTCTTTTCAGGAAAGTGAAAAGGCCTGTTTTATGAGGAAGAGTTTTTGTATGAACAATGAGTAATAGTACAGTTATGCACTGTAACACAGTACAGTTTTTTTTATTATTATTCGTATGTGCATCAGGCTTTGTATGTTTTATTAGGCCACCAACTAATTTTATTCAATAATCATTTTAGGTTTTTTGTTTTGTTTTTTTTTTTGCCTTTTTTTTTTTTTTAACCTAAATTAGGTTGAACTTCAAACTGTGTCCTACTGAGTTGCCTTCCTAACTAAATATGAATAAGCCATAAAGCCATCCCGAAGCAATTAACCCTGCTCTATTTCATAAAGCAATAGTTCGCTGTGTCATCTCCATTACTTGACGTTTTTCATCATATTTATTTACTAAAATCAAGCTTAAATTAATGTTTTAGTTATTTATTTAAATTCACGTGACACCTCAGTCTCATGTAAAGCCAACTGAAAAGACAGTGTTCATTTACTTGCATATGGCCTTTAAAATCCACTTTTGTCAGGTGTATAGCTTTTAGTGCATCAAGAGATGTTTTATTTCAGTTAAATTGTTCTTTTGAAATTAATTTGACGTGTTGATTTCTAAAACTTCAAGAAAGTTTCAGAAGGTATTTAACCTTTATTGCTATACCAAACATACATCTACCTGAAACGGAGTTCTATTTTTGTAGCTGCCACCAACACACATTTTTACTCTTTTAATAGTGACTAACAGTGTTCTCCAGTCATTTCTGTACCTGCTCATATTTTGATGTGCTACTGGACAGTTCCTTGGGTTTTTATTATCTATGACTTAAGAAACTGGAGTTTCTTCCTGTATATTTGTAAATGTTGCGTCTAAAATTTTACAGTTTTGTATAGAGTTGAGAATTTACCCATACAGCATAAAGAAAAGACATTTTCTCTATTGAAAGTTTGAATAAATAATAACTTTACAGGAACATTTATGGTTTGGTGTGTTGTAGCTATTTCATTGGGCCATAGACAGTTTGAATTCCACAGTGATGCACTAGGGGGCAGCATTGTATTATCAGAACATCTGGATGTGTACTGCACCTAGTACAGAGGATACTGAATAAGACTTTGTACATAACTGGGCTGAATGCCTTTAATTACATCTTATGCTGTCTGTTCACTAATAATTCCACGTAATCTTCTAACATCTGTAGTACAGAGTTTGTGTCTCTTGGGTCTATACAGGCATCTATTGAACACAGCTCTCATGAGCACAACACACAATTTTCAGCCCAAAATAAAATCTCTCTCACACATACACACAGTCTTTTACCAGTCTGTGCTGTTCTTTGTTGAGCTGTCTTGTTTGAGTCCATATCCATTATCGGCTGAACACATGTTGCATTGGCAACAGCTGCCACGTCACCTGCTAACATTCACCACAACAATGGGATGGGAATAATTAGGCCATTCTGCCACTGGGACAGTAGCCTGATGTTACAGTGATTGGGAGCAGCTTTTGTATCTACATTGACTGAAGAGGGACAATAAGTGTACATGTGGAGCCATCAGTGTTGATGAGCCACAATTTCATTTTCTATAATCAAAGTACATCTGGGAGCCACTAGGTGGCAATAGCTCATTTTACTACCTCACTGATGTATCTGACATTGGCTGCCATTGTATCTTCAGGTTCTTGTTACATTTGGATGACTTTATTGTTCACATGTTCATGTGTCGCTCTGCTCAACACCTACTATACAGATGAGGCCAACCAGTCAGGCTCTGCCATTTTGTCTGACATTTGTAAAAGAAAAGGGAAGCAGTCTCTGTTATTAATGATATAAAATCATTGTGTTGCTGTTAGAAAGCAGAGCCAGATCAAAGCCAGGTGTTCTGTCATGAGTGCAGAACCTGCATGGCCTGGCAGCCCCTCATGGTGCCCCTGTCTGGTGGTGGTGGTGATTCAGGTAAGGCCTTGACCCTTGTGCTTCAGCCCAATCCAATATTTTTCCTGGTAATCCCCCTTCCACTCCTCAACACTGCTGCTCTTTCAGAGTTAAGTCCACATAAGCTCCAACTTGAGTGCCAGAGGCAGAGCAGCAACAGGGATGGTGCGGTTGCCTAGCGACGTCTCAGTTACTGCACCTGAGGGTGTTGGGTAAACACCCCAAGCCTGCCAGAGGGAAGGGGAGAGAAGCACCATCTCTGGTTCCTTCCATGACATTGATTAAAGGGGATCATTATTAATTTGTTGCATTTGGGGTTGTCATTTTTGCCTTCACCCCAGAGGGAGATTAAATGACAAACGATATCTAAGAAAGTTTGTGAGTGCAGGCATGCTCAAGATTGTGACTGCTCATCTGTACCTGTGGGTACTTTTGTCTAATTCCAAGAAGGGATTTGACTGTTCTGATAATGCTTCTCAGCAGGGGGGGTCCTCTTGCACTTCTACGATAAGTCTCCAGCCTAAGTTTCTTTGCTTGTTTACGCTCACAGAGGGGCTCAGATTTAATGATGGTTAGAGGCTGCTGAAAGTCCCCCAGCCCCCATTATTTGCATGAATTGGAAGGTTATGAAAATTTTTATTAAGGTAAGACCCCTATAGCTAGATGAATAAGAAGGTTGTGATATATTTTTTAAAATTACTTTTGCAAACCAAAGAATTCAAAATTCTACTCATAATCCCACTGTATTCATGCTGAGAGACAAATAGAATACTAAAAGTCAGTTATTTAATTTTATCCTTTTTAACGCCTTCTTGCATATTCTTGATTGAGATTTGAGCTTATGAATAAAACTCTCCTAGGAGGGACACAGGAGTGTGATTTGGATGAAGTGATGTGGCACTGTGTGATTCAGTCGCTGCACTTTATCATCCATTAAGATGCACAAATCCAATAGCCTATAACCACTTTTATTCTGAAATGAAAGAGAATGATTAACAGCCTCACCTGAGGAATCAAACATATAACATGCAACAACAGTTCATTAGTTTACACTTCTTCACAACTCCAGCTCCTGTGCGTCCTTGCCCTTGTTCCACTCAGGTCGGTGCTGACTTTAGAACTCTTTTGTTCTGGGCTCGACCTGGGCAGCGTGCTTTGGCCTGGAGATGCTATAATAAGGCCAGTGTTTATGACCGCTGCTGAAATGGGTTTGTAAGCGCGACTGAACCTGTGAGGTATTGATGCAGGGGTTAATAGCCTGTTGGCCTCTTTAATGGAGCTGAATCAGGCCAAGCAGCAGGTAGCGTCAGCCCACAGGAGAGGAACATCTCCATTTACAAAGTCATCTCCTATATGAGGCGGGACAGGCACCAAAATTTGTTGAGCGTACAGCGTCTACAGCTACACTAATGACTCTTTAAGGTTGTAATTAGGCAGAGTGGTGCTTTGAGCTAAATGCCAATGCTAGCATGGCAACAATGACTGTCAAAATGTTGACGTTGAGCAGGTATGATTACCCTGTTAGTTCAGCATAGTTTACACGGAGCCAGAGACCAACACTGTCACCCCTAGAGCCATGCTGCAGGCATGGATAAAAATGTAAAGCAAAAAGTGAAATGCTGCCAAAAAGAGCCTACCACATTAAATAAATATCTGCACATTTAGAAATAAATAAATATGACCATGAGACACCTTTAGGCCAAAACATTCACCTCACCTTGAAGCTCTTGTTAAGATTCAGAAAGACACAAATGAATTATACATGAGCAGTGTTATCTCTCTAGTGGGGAATCACCATAAAACATGAGTAGATTATGCACCTGAGATGTAAAAAAGAGTTCATATACATAAGACACACATAAGAACAGAGCCATAACTGTGACTAATCAGCTTGCATTAGGCATATGGCCAGGTACGCTATCGTTCCTCTGCATCATGTTACTGTTATATCATCATTACATTTACAAGACTAATGCTGTTACACACGTGGTGGTCAATTATTTATTTATACTAATGGCTGCGCTGTACATCCATTATTCATGGTAAATGTTGGTCTGTGTGGAGTAATGCTGACAGAGGGAAAGAAATAGATAGATAAATAGATAGATAGATACTTTATTGATCCTGAGGGAAATTTCATATGCATGTATGTGTGTGCGCGTGTGTGTGTGTGTGTGTGTGTATGTATATAT